TATAGTCACAGATCCATGCCTCTAGAAAACCATCAAGAGGCGATAGTCAGGGGGGGAGACAGACAGACAGACGAGTACTGTACTGTACTAAACGTGAGTCCTCAAAACCAGACTTTGGCGACACAAAGCGCGTTTCAGCAGTCCCGGCGTGAAATACGATACCTACTGTACGAGTACGCTTGGATGCTGATGTTCGTGACAGATGGAACGGCAGGGGATCCGCTGGGTTTTCGATACAGCAGAGACCTCTAGCGCTGCACATACCCTTGATTCCGTCTCGTTTGCTCATCAGGGATTGCTGGATGGCCCCGACATCTCCTGCCGCGTGGTTCATTTCACAGTCCTTGGGGTTTGGTCACTTTTCATTTTTCACTAGTAACATTCTCGGCGTTGTTGCCCAGCTACGACCTGTGAATCCATTCGCGCGGCCGCTTCGACGTACCTAGATTGCCCTTGTGGATACGGAGGGTGGTGTTCCAGGTCGATACTAGCAATCATCATCCTCATCGCCGCCGCCAGACACCACGCGATGGACACCGTGCCACTTGCAGCAAAGACACGGAGTACGCACTCTCCATACCGTGATAGCCCACAGTCGATACTACTCTACCACGGCGTCCCCTTGATGCGGCAGCCTGGACGGAGTAGTCCGAGCGGATATGCGAGCTAATTACGACTTGCCCTCGATGCTGCACGTCGCACCGAGCGTACCATGTTTTCGGGCTCGCAGAAACTTTCGGTCAATCATCAACCCGTTGAGTCTTTTCCGTGCAGCGCGCCTCGCATAACATCTCAGGCTATGATATGATATACGCGTATCCAAGGAAAGACATCCTTGGGCCTTGGCAGCTATTGTAGATGTTTTGAAATCGCCAGGTCGTGAAATCTGAGGAGCATCTCCAACTCGAGAGCACGCAATCTGTTTCTGCTTCTCGGTCTTCGGAAAAGAGCTAGACGAAAGCTCCCGGATCAATCTTGGTGCTATCTTTCATGCTAACATTGTTCTCCGCCCTCGCCATAAATGCCCCATGCTCTGGCTCCCTTAGCATTGGCTCAGTCTAGTCGCCACACAGCCCGCTCTCATCTAGGGACTCCATTTTACGAGCGTGTGCTCCGTACGGTAACAAGAACCTCCTTGCAGCACGAAACACAAGTGAATGTTCATCTTCCGGAGACTCCCGGTCTCTCGCTGTACCGGGATTGCGCCACACGTTGTTTCGCCCATGTTTATTGTACATTGCCGCAGAGCCGCCACGGAAGCTGAATTCGATGGTTAGGGTCGATTCAAGCGTTCTGTTCGGCTCACCAAGACCCGGCACCCGGGATTCACCTCCAATCTGGCGCCTCGGGCACTACTCCAGAGTTACACAGCATGCTATGCAGCAGGTCATGAAACCGCTTCTGCAGCCGCTCGATGCGGGGTTGTTTTCAACGACCTCAGCCATGCCCTTTACCGTCTTGTTCACTTCATCTTTGATTTGCAAATCTAAATCATTCCTTTGGACGGAGAGGGGAAGGTATCTCAGAGAAAGAGACAGAGAGAAATAGAGGCCAGGGACAAATAAGCCCATGCATGGTACCGGAGGAATGAGGGAGGGGAGACCGACAGTCAGGAAAATCCGGAAAGCTACTTCAGTCCCGACAGCCGGTCATCACCCTGGTTCATCTTTCCGCACGAGTGAGGACGATAAAGCACGGGGGAATGGAGGCTGTAGTACGAGTACTCCGTACTTCTGATAAGTAGCTACGGGAGCACGGCGTATTTTCAACATTACTCGTATTACAGCCGGCGGCTCCCTCGGCTCCAAACCGAATGTTTACTCCACAGTCTGAAGCAAGTGGCTTTCAAGATTCGTAACCTCTCGGCGCCTTCTGCGGATACATCCGTTCCATTGGCGCCCACGCGCGGTGTGGCATCGACTGTACATGTTTGAACCAACCACCATCTGCATGCACACGCACAAGCTTTAGGGTTTGGTACGGAGTACAAGTCCTGTCTGCTCTTCTCCGGGACGCTCTGCCAGCTTCAAGGGCAACATGCAGGGTTGTCCTATTCGGACAGCGTCATTCCATCTCTCTTCTGGTCTGCTTCCTACTGCTACTCTATCGCTCCCGTCAGGATCACGGCCGGCGTTTCGGGGAACGTCCTCGAACTGGTCAAGTCCTGGAGTCGCCCACCATCTGTTGGCGGCAACTACTGGAGTGCGAGCCAGTGTAGTGGTGACCTGGTCGCTTCTGACGCCACGCGCCTGATCGCTAGAGCCAGTAGTAGGGCAAATGCAAGCCTAATTTCATGCGAGGACCCCGACTTTTGTCTTTTTTCTGAAGGTGAGTTCTTCAAGCTAGCATAGAGCCACACAGTGCGCTCTTCCGTCCGTTTTTAACCAGGCGAGGGATGGTTTAGCTGTGGGTTCAACTCTCGCCCCGGCTCGAGCCCCGACAGGGGGATCCTCCGTCCTTGTCGGAAGCGTTTGTTCAAAGTTCGGATTGTGTGGAAGAGCGAGTGCTCGTACTTGGTACCTCACCACCACGGCGGAAGAATCCGTACCACCTACTTTGCGGGGTTGCCACTAACAGTATCTCCCACTCGTCATGCGGGCACACCAGAGTCGTCTTGTACAGTACCATGTTCCAGAACATTCAAGTTAGAGACGCCAACGATGGACTAAAGAGTTTTGTTCCACATCCGCCACACTGAAATGACGGCACCGTCGACACAAAGGCAGAAAACAAGCTGGTGTATGAATCGCGGCAATCTAACGGGGACCACCATGTACTCGTGCGAACACTGCTCGCGCTGGCCTCCCAAGTTTACGACTAGTATTGCGATTGCTGTCTAAGTGGTACGAGCATTTTCATCAGATTTTCCTGGAGGGGATTTCGGGCCACGCGGCATGCAAGCGACATGATTGTCCGCCGAGCAAGCATCTGGACGGCGTCCAAGCAAACGCGTGTGGATATGCGGTGTGCCCCGTACCAGGCACAGAACAGTAACCGGATATTATACTAGTGCGGCCATGTTTCCCCAAGAGCAAATCTTCTCTGGAGACTAGGGTGGCCAGTCGGCATCGAGAAGAAAAAAATGGCTAAAAAGCTTACCATCCCCTGTCTACGGAGCACTGGTGCACATCATGTCCCGAAATAGGCGGCTTCGGCCCCAGAGGGAGCCACATGCCGTGTGAAGCTTGGCGGAAATGGTGGGTGGATGGTCTTAACACGCCTCTTCTCGCGCTGCATCTTTCTGAGAGAGGTATGTACAAAGGCCTGCTGTCGATGAGACGCGAGGGTATCCTTACCATGGTTTGATGGTTCGTTAATTTCACCTAGAATCTGCCGTATAGATTACAACATCACCATCTGCATCCCCAGTCGTCTGTCGGATCGGACTCGCCGTTTGTCAACCATCGCAGGTGGCTCGTTGTGCTCGTACAAACTTTGGTTCGCCTATTGTCGCCTTGGGTGGCGGGGGGGTTCAGGGTGGCCTTGACGTTTCAAGGTACAGTATGCTTGGAGATTGCGAACAGAGCCATCTCTCGATTAGTAGTTTGATTTCTTCTCCTGTTGCGGCGGATCTTCACCGAGAACAAGATTCGCATGCTCAAGAGAGGGGGCCTATGCCGGCTCTCGTTCCTGGGGCCAGAGGGCAGGACGACGACGACGGATGGCTACACTGCCTCTGAGTGGCCGAGTGAACAGCCAGAAAAGAAACGAAGAATCCAAATGCGCAAAGAGAGGCTGGACAGGGAGCGGCAAGTCAGTGTACAAGTGCTCGTATGTGGTGGTTCGCGGCGCGGCATGACATATGACCTGAGAGAGACCCGGTAGCAGGCCCGATTGATCACGACCGGGGTGCTGCCGTCCCTGGAGTCAATGCGATGCTCCATGGCTAGTCGAGCAAGCCCAGCTGGAGCTCGAAACACCTTAGCGGGCTTTGGCTGATCTCGACTGCCCTAGCCGGTCAATTTCTAAAGGGTGTGGCCTTACCAGCCCCACGTCTGCCAATCCAGATATATTTCCGAATCTGCTTTAATGGGCGGAGAGCGACGGCGGATGACGGATGAGCACATTGACTGATACAGACACTTGGTTGTTGTACAGCAGAGTAACCCGCTTGGGGCCGATATACCTGCATCGAGTCGCCGCTTCCTTCACACCCCTCCGCCTTGTTTCTACTTGTACTCGCGCTTCACATACCAGGCCTGCTTTCCCTTCTGCGGCATTGCTTGCATCTCGGCAATCACAGCCACCGTCGCAGTCACAGACTTTAAAACCGCCAGCAGGTCGACCCTCCGGCTCCAGACTCCAGCGTCAGACTCCAGCGTCCACCGTCATCTTCAGCAACATCGCGCAGCTTGGTCCCGGGCGCTCGGCTCACTACCGCCTGTTTCACTTTCTCGAGAGCGCAGACCGCGTAATCGCCATCGTGACCCCAATTGGCACATGTCAGATGCCGGCTTGCGATCCCAGCGACAGCGTCACTAAACGGGAGGGCTGCCGTGGGTTTCCCGAGCTGGGCATTTCAACTGCAGCACCGCAACTGAACTTGGATATAGACTTGCTTTGGTCCCGTATCACGACACGACACGAGACCAGAATCGACCAAGGCGCACTCCTTGTGCAGATCTGCTCATAGTGCCGGCGTTGTTGGCTATTTCCCCCCCTTCCAAAAAAGCACCTGCTTGTTCTTTACTTAGCCCGCTGTCCTTTTTCCTCCACCTCCCCAACTTTCCCATCTCCCTTCTCCCCTCCAAACTCGGCGCAACCGGTAGAGCAGATCCATTGGTTCCAGAAGGAGTCCAAGGCTGGCGTAATACAGATCCTCTCGAGCGCGGCACCCCAAGCCGCGAGTCCATCCCGTTAGTGCCGAGACTCCGATCGGTTGGGTCGCTCAACTGCCTAACGCAACACCGATTTAACTCTACGTCGGTGATTCAACAACGACACATCTGTTGACGCTGCAAGCTGGTGATTGGTGTACTCGATCAAAACACACCGAAATCATGGCAGAAACGTCGCACAACCCGTATCCGCGATCTCCCAATCCCTCCACCAGGTCGTACGATTCGTCATCTGTCTCGTCCGCAACGTCGCCCCGGCCTCCTTCGCGGTACCTGGGGAGCATGCTGAATGCGACAGGAAGACCAAACCCGACACCACCTCAGCCTCTTGGTATGCCTACGCTGCCCCCCGTCAACCAAGGCTTTCCGCCTTATACGCCCATGCCACCAACCTCCATCATGGGCCGCGAGTCTGTTGCCTCTACCGACTCCCTGGTAAGCAGTCAAGGCCCCGGTGGCTCCCAACTGTCGGGAACTCCCGGTGCGCAAGGACAAAAGAGGGCCTACCGCCAACGTCGCAAAGATCCCAGCTGCGACGCATGCCGGGAGAGGAAAGTCAAGTGCGATGCGACGGAGACGACTAGCTGTTCGGAATGCTCCAGTCGAAACGTCAAATGCCAGTTCACCAAGGAAACCAATCGAAGAATGTCTTCCATCAAGCAGGTGCAAGACCTAGAGAAGCAGATTGAAAAGGTCAAGCGTGACAACAACAACTTACGCCGGATGCTGCAGGAGAGAGATGGCTCTATGGACATTGACGTCGAATCTAGAGAGCGATCATCCTCTCAGTTACCACCCCCCATCGAGTCCGAGAGCAGACCGCGCAAGAGACCGCAGCCAGTTCCCGACCTCGCCCTGGCAAGGACGAACCTACGAACCTTTTCAAAGGGCATTTGGAAACCTCCAGCGCAGCACCGATTACCAGCGCCGGCCATTTTTGATGCACCCGTGCCTGAGTTGCCCCCCCGTCAGGTGGCAGAACAGCTGCTAACCACCTACTACGCTTCCGCGCACACAATGTTTCCCATCATTCATTTACCAACCTTTAAAGCCATGGTTGACGACTTGTACCGAGCAAGTCCACCTCGCATACCGCCGGCGTTCTTGTGCCTATTCTTTGCTGTTTTAGCAACTGGTAGCTTGTTTACTGCCGAAGTTCCTGCAACAGCCGCCACCTATTTCCGACCTGCCGAGCTGTTGGAGTCGGCACGGAAGGCCATGGACCCCTGGTGTAACCATCACACTCTCGACGACGCAAGAGCTCTTATTCTCATCACCATTTGTCTGAACGAGATGAATCTGAAATCAGCAGCGTGGAGCTTTTTGGGCAATGCAGTGCGTGTTGGCCAAGACCTTGGCCTCTACCTGGACACGGAAACATGGCCAGTGGTGGAAGGTGAAATGCGCCGCAGGACGTGGTGGGCGATTTACATCCTCGACAGGGTCATGGCCACCGAGATGGGCCATCCGTTTCTTATCGACGATGCCGACTGCAGCGTTGCTCTGCCCGCCGCTGTGGATGACCAATACATTGAAGATGATGGCATGAGAGTCCCCAGTGGAGCTGAGCCGTTGACTCACTCTCTCCTGGCTGTTATTCACGTCGTCAGATCTTACACTTCGCTTGTGAAGGCGACGGAGTCTCCCACGATACCGCCTACGCAGCTTGCCGGCTTCGACGCTCATTTCAAAAAGTGTCTCAACACTTTCCCTCCAGCTTGCGATCCTGTTAGCACCGTGGCTTTGGCACCTCACTTCTTGGCGCCTCTCACTTATTTATTCCACGCGCGGCTACTTCTTCACCGCCATAATCTGAACCCCGGCTGTGATGTTGATAACCGCCTCGCAGCCATTGAGAGCTGTATGCACATTGGTATAGAGACAGCATCGTTACTTAGCAGGACAAGCTCTCCAGCAGATGGCGCCACCTCTCTTTTGACGGCTCACATCTTTCGCTGTACCTTATTCCTGCTCCTAACAGGATATTTGGATCATGCCATCACCTGCATCCGAGCTCTAGCGACAATTGACGCGCGGCGCGATGTAGCTACTGCTTGCGGGAGATACCTCTCCTTCTTTACCTCCACCTTGAGTGTGAAGCGAGCCGAGTATTCAAGTCGTATAGCTCGAACGACTTCGCCGCATGCTTTCTCCAGTGCGCGATCGCCCGTGGACCCCTCCACCCTTTTGGTTACATTGGCTAGAGATGAGGAGCTTTTGGCTTACGTCTCGTCCGACCTCCATGCCTCACCATCAAGATCTTGGGTCTGGACCGAAGGATATGATCGTGATTACCTTGCTCCCAAGACAGATGCTGCTGCTCCATCCGGCGGGCTCGGACACGCACTTTTCAGCTCAGCAATGAGAACTGGCCTCAGTGAAGAGGAGCGCAGAGAGTGGGGTGGATGGACTCAACTAGAGACGGCGGTTCGAGGGCTGGGATCGACTCACGCGGTGAGCAGCAACTGGACAACCCTCCCTCCGCCTCAGGTAAAGAGAGAATCTCCGACTCCTGGCATCCCCAGCATTCAGCGACTCTCAGATGCCCCTCGATACACAGGCGAAGTCCCAAAATATGGCAATGAACCATCGAGACCTGCTGCCAGCCCCGCTGGTAGAGATAGATTGAGCATTGCAAATATTATATGATGATGACGACGACAACGACGAGGCCAGAGATTTTTTTGGGGACTCGGAAATGATATACGAAATCTGGGATGACTCAATGGTCACTTTCTTTCCTTTTTACATTTTCTTTTGTGTTCATTCCCCTGCTCTGTTGTTGTAATCTTTGATGTTGGGTAATAAGGGAGCATGGCGGCTCGCTTTTTGGACCTTGGATTGTTCTTATCGTTTGGATTAGGAAAAAAAAGTGGTCGAATGACGGCATTTGATACCAAGCACTCTCACACATACCCATGGGACTAGCGATTTGTTTTTTATATTCATTTATTTTCTTTTTTTGTGTGTGTACACGGCTTTAGCAGGAGAAGACTTATATACCAAATTTCCTTTGAATGTTCTTTTTTTTCCTTCCCTATTTTCTTTTTATACATGAGTCTTTATGCTGTCATATACGGACGCAAGAGTAGGAGATACCACCTGAGCCTTTTCTTCTTCTTCTTCTTCTTCTTCTTCTTCTTCTTCTCTTTTTTGCTATTCTGTTGTGTTTTTCGCCCTTGGTTTTTCTTCGGGCCGTCTGTCTTTGTTATCTCTTTTCTTTTTCTTTCCTCGCTCTCTCCATTTCATGATGTCGCACTCTGGGGGCGTGCAAGTGCAGGTGGCCTTGTTCCCAGGTCTTTTAAAATGAAAGAATGCACACGATATAATAGTCTACATAGCATTGACGTTTAGGTATGTTCGATAGCAGAGATAATTTCAACTCTAACTTATGCCTCCATCCCACTGCCCACATTGTTATATAAGCCTAACAATGGCCGTCTGCGATTAGGACAAACTTCCGTCTACAGATGAAAAGAGCAGGCAGCCATCCTGCCATACTTCCTTCACCTTGGCCCTCCGTCAAATTGCAACTTTGCAAATTTCTCCTGCAGCGTATCCCGCAATAACCCCCCATCATCAACATACTTGGCCAAATGCATGGCCTTGAGCGCCCAGCGGTGACAAGGCTCTTCCTCCCCACGAGCGTAATAGTCGATGGCGTGGTTGAAACTCGTGGCAACTAGCCACTCCAACTCCGCAGACGGCAGCCGATTTCCAGCCTGTCAACCAACATCAGTTAAATACTATGCTACTCATTTGTGCCTAATTTTTTTTTATAAAGAGCAGGGGGGAGAATAGCCTTACTTCCTTTCCCTCGCGGGCTATTTGTATAGCTTGATCCACAAGCTGAAGAGCTGCGGAATCGTCCAGTCCCAGAATCGCTTGAAACATGCAACGAATGTATTTTGCAAGTTTTTCATAGTCAAACTCTTCCAGCTCAAAAATCTCATTAATGATGAGGCGCATGGTTGAAAAAAGTGCTAGAGTCCGAAACGTCAGCGTCGTCTCTCAATAAAGGGGCTAAGCAGACGGCCATAAATCCCTGACCTTTTCCTGGAGCTTTGCTTCTCAGTACGCAGTCTCCCATCGCCTTGTACATTACCTCGTCGCAGCACGTCTTTGCCTTGCGGACAATCTCGTTCAAGCCATCCCAATCTCTGAGCACGGTGGCGGCCTCAAAGTCGAAAACAAATAGTGTTGATAGTTTTGCGTTCAAATCTGCCGCAGTGCTTTCATCCATTATTTCGTCTGTATCAGTCTCCAATATCGCATAAAATGTGTCCATGTGGTGTCTAACTTGGAGGTAATGTTGCAACTGCTCTTCCACTCTATCCTCTGCCCTTGCGAGAGAGACTAATGCTGCAGCAATGACGAAGTGGCAACGCAAATCCATCATGGCTATATCAGTAGTCTCAGATGAAGGCAGATCCTTGGGATAACATGCCGAAAAGGCCAGACATGTATTAAATATTCGGATGATGTGAGAGAGCTCCCATGTATCGCATTTTGAAACACCCATATTGTATGCGTTTTTTCGGAACCAGTGTAACTCGGGTACTGTAAAAATTGTGCTTCCTTTGTCATCTTTGGGATGCTGGTTCGCCTGCTCGGCGGCTGCGTCCATGACATTAGCAATCATCTGACGGAGTATGTCGCATATGAATACCTTTCTCAAATATATGGCATAAATCTTCGGCATATGTAATGCTCTGAGAACCTGCCCCATCCTCGTTACCTTTTTCTTCAATCAAATGAATAAGACGAATCGAGCAGCGCAGTATTGATGTCAGATTGCTTGGAGTTTCTTGGTCAGTCGTCCAACTCTCAATGATGGCCTGTAGAGCTGCCAGAGTACATAATTTGTCGCCCGCTTGTTGTGCTTCTCTAATACAGGCGTATAGAACGTCGCGTCCTTGTGAACTGTCTGAAAGTCTACTGAGGTGCCTGATGCTCTCGGAGCCAAGCTCATGGTCCCAGTCAATGAGAGATATTTTAAACGCCAAGTATCTGGTTAGAATGTGGTTTTTAGAGTTCTCTGACATGGAATGTAAAATCTGTCGAGCCTTTTCGGTATCGTTGCATCTAAGGGCACAAATGACACGCTTTCTGCTGAATTTGCCAAGATTGGCTTCGCCACTGCCCATGAATATTCTGTGTAGAGCAATTAAGCACCACGCCTCCGCAGCTTCATAGTTTTCGTCAAAAAGTATAGAGTCTATTTTACTCCAAATGACCTTCTATCCAATTAGCACAAGCATATGAACTCAATGTGGGAGTGCTGCGGTCTGCAACTTACTGAATGCGCTGCGCCAGCGATATCACACTCCAAAGGCTCAGAAAGAGCATCGTCCACCTTGTCTAAGAGGTTTTGAAGATCTGCCAAAGCTTCAATAGAATTTGTTTCATCAACAGTGCTCATCCAGATCCTCCTAACAACGGTTTTTCCAATCCATTCACTCTTTTTTGAAGATATAATGTGTTGTAGCAAAAGTTCATCCAATAGCCCGCGGGCCAACCGATGGTTTTTCTCTCTCAGAGATTTGATGTGATGCAAAAGGAAATAAAAAGAAGCGTCGGAATGGTCGAATGATCGAACCATCCGATGCAGAATACTAGAATAGGCGTCGATGTCGAAAACTTCCCCAGGAGCTTTCTGCAAAAGTTCAAGACGCCAATGCAATACAAGGGGCTTGTCCCCAATTTCAGACTCAATATATTCGACCAAATTGTTGGCCTCTTGAACGCACGCCAAGGAACCAACGTCAAGAAGTCCCCGGACAAGGCCTTGGCATATGGCTAATCGCAACTCTAGCCCTTTGCTTGAGAGCTGATCTAGTGCCTGATGGTTGATAATATCGTAGGCGCGTTTTAGCCACTTGACCGCCATACCATGGTCTCCTTTCGAGGCAAGATCGAAACCAATATGTTGCAGAGTATCGGCTATTATCTCAGCAGACCTTGGGTCTAGCGTTGGTCGAATGGCATATATCTTGCTAAACATGTGCTCCGCAACGTCAAGCCTATCCTCTTTCCAAGACTCTCCAACTTGTCAAAACATTAAATCTCGTCAAAGCTACCCCATGCGAGAGTACTCACCAGAGCTGTTCTCATCGCCAAATATTCTGCGTCAAGTTTCGTCCGCTCACTCTGCTCACGAGGGTCGGAAGCGTCAAGCGGGGCTGCTTTGAGCTTTTCCATCAGTTCTGCGGTTTTCTGAAGCGCCAACCTGGCTGAATCCAAGTCGGAGTCTTCCACGCAATGCTTGCCGAGCGTCAATGATAGACTCATCAAGTACGCAACCTCTGCCCCCGTATCCTCCTTGGCTCTGCCCGCACTTCGACCAAGCTCCAGCATATAAAAGGCAAGCGACCTTGCTTTCAGAAGCAGCCTGGATTTCTCCATGGGAGTGGATGTATCTTTCTCTCTCTTCAATCTCACACAGAGATTCCACAAATCTCGTCCGTGTCGTTCAACATCCTTGGCTAACTTTGGTGGTAAGGGGCCCGTCGAGCCCAACGGCGCAGCATTGTGAATCTGCTGAACATGGTGGCTCGTATCGGCGAGAAGAAGGCCGATTGCTCCCGGCTCAAGGGAATCAGAAAGCTTGGACTGAAGTGTGGCTGCGAATTCTGCATCCACAGCATCGTTAGAAAACAATGCAGACCCATGTCGACAACAATCAAGAGCATGAGTTGCCTACCGACAAACGATCGAGCCTTTCTAATCCTGCCAGCGGAAGCAAGATCATCAGGTGCCATGTTGACACGATCGACTGGAGAGAAGACGGTAGAAGCCTAAAGACGAAATGCGCAGTTGTAGAGGCGCAAGTGAGATTTAATATCCACAAAGCTGCAATCCTGAGCAATGATGCCACGAATTAAAGAAGAAAGGGAGAAAGAAAAAGAAGAGGAAAAGGGAAGGGGAAGGCATTCCCATTGCATCACATCTTCAAATGCACCTGCCTCATCACGCATATAGGTACCTCGGTAGATGTACAGGTAACCTCTAGGCGCTAGGAAGTACCCGAGTACCTCGAGACTCAAAGCATCAACTCAACCAATCCCCAAGGCAAACCGTCCATAGTAGCAATTATCTAACATTAATCGAAAAGACTACCATATGTTTAAGTAGGTATGTACCTGAACAACTCTAGCAATAAAAACACAAGGACAAGAAATCCAACGTCAACAACACACCCGACTCTCTCTCTCTTCCGACAAGAACTTGGGAATCTAAACACCTCATGAAGAAAAATGAAAGAAGGACTTGAATGGGACAAGGAATGAAAGGGGACACAACAATAGCGATAAAGCCCGTATACAATATTCAGGCAAGAGACGAACGAAGAGATAAAAAAAAAAAAGGGGGGGAGGGGGGGGGGGAGGAAGCAACTCGACGCAGTTCCAACGCCGTCCGTCATGCCCCATTAACCTTATAATAATGATAAAAAATGACCCATTCCTGATCCAAACTTTTTGGGTTGGTTTATATAAAAAAAACCCTGATTTTCCGCACCCCGTGCCCAAGTAGGTCTCCTCTTGCCTCTTTCCCCCTAAAAAAACTCACACAAGTGATACGCGATTCTTTTTTTGGTCATTCATCAGATAGGCATAGAGTATCTTCACTGTACAGGAGGGTCGTGCGGTAAAAAGTTGCCAACAATCAACGCAGGTCTGTTGAAAATTCCAGTGTCAGCCTCTCTTCATGTCGTGGAGAGAAAAAGGGTGAAGGTATTCAAAACTCACAGCTTATGCTCATCGCGGCGGATCGTAAAGGAGAAGCAGCACTTGACGATGGGATGATCTGACGAATCACTAGGATTCTTGAGCGAGCACGCCGTCAACAACGTATCATGCGCCGGGTCAAAGGCAATGGTGCCAAACTCCTCCCAATATCTAACCATCGACTCCTCGGTAAGGATCTCGTGGAGTGCAATCTTGCCCTGAGTAGGGAAAAAAAAGAGACATCTGTTAGCGCGTCATGCAGAACGTGTAGAAGAATGGGAAAATACAAACATCTCGCAGTTGATCCACAGGAACATTGATCAACTCGGCCATTTCTTTATTTCCTCGAAAAATCTCCCCCGTCCGCCTCCAGCAACACGCCGGCACGGCCATACTGGCAAACACCCGGTCGTAGTCCATCAGCTGTTTCTCAAACCACATCTCCACGTACACCAGCTGCATGTCCGTCAAGCCCTGTGCCTTTTCTCGGAACTTTGGTCGAAACTGGTTAATGGTCCGCAAAATCTTCTGTTTGGATGTGGACGCGATGTGCCCGTCCAAGTACTTGCCCAGCCGCGCATAGCCCTTGATGTAGTTGAACGGCTTGAGCAGGCCGGCATCGTACTTGGCCTTGAGCACGCGAGACATTCGTTCTTCTGGGTTGTCGTTCCCAGAAGGATCGGCTGCCTGGAGGTAGTATTCTCGAGTCTTCTCCTTGTCGGATCGAGCCATTGACTTGCTGTCAAAATTTGAAGGAGGCAGCATGGACCCTGGCTTCTGGCCCGCTGATACAGAGCCGCCCGTCAATCCATTGCTGCTGCCAAAGCCAGAGAGCATCTCTGACGGACCCCCTGGCCGATTAAAGGCCGAATTCTGCTGAGCTTCGACGCCACCCTCGTCAAGGATGCTATTGTGCAAAAAGTCGTTGAGCAGGTTAAACTCGTGAGTGACGTCGGCTCCAATCAGGTAGTTGGGGTTATAGGTGTTCATATCATGGTAGTTTTGCGCGGTCAACCAAGCGTCCGAGAAGCCGGCAACTACTCCATCGTTAGCCATCCAGAGCTTCATGTTGGTGGCCGAAGGGGGAGGGGGGGGGGGGGGGGGGTACTGGGGGTAGTATCGGAGAAAGACGAAGGTGAGCTGAAGAGCTGATTAGGGGAGAGGGGTCGAATCTCCTTTTGAAAGAGCTTACATTGATTCGCGTTACCATTGTTATTCAACGCGTTGGCCTGCAGGCCAGACGAGGCGTCGGGTTGCACAAGGGATAATGGGTTGGCCTGTCCAAGCACGCCTCCAGCCCCGATGGCCGAGTTTGCCCTCTGTCTCGCGCCATCGAAGGTCGGGGGAGGGCCCATGGCGCTGGAGATGGAGCTATGGCCCACGTCGGACTGGGACATGGTGTCCGATTCATCTACGGACGCCGTGGACGCAGTTTTGCTAACAACCGTCTTCTTCTTGGGATCTGACTCGCGGGGCTCATCGTGGCAGAGATGGCCAATATTTCGCTTAATGCATCTCGTACATGGACGCTCCTGGCCACGGCATTAGCACGCCCACAATGTAGAGCAAGGGAAGAGGTGGGCAGAAACGGGAGGGTCTGGACCCATCCGTGAAGCTGCCGCAGAGGAGGGAGCAGGATAGATGCCGTGTGGTGGATGTACTTACGAGATCGCATGTCATGTGCTACTCGCGTCAAATTGAATCAGTCAGCCACAAGTTCATGATTTACAAATAAGGGGTGTTGTGGATGATGAATCTCCGAGATGTCTTGTTTCTTTCTTTCTTTCTTTCTTTGCTTCTTCTTTGTCTTCTCTTCTTTTCCCCCCTTTCCTCCAGGCAGTATATGGGAACGTCTCATTTTCTAAAGCGGGCCAGACTTACAGATCTGCGACAATACACGCAAGCTGCAACGGTAGAGGGAGAGACACGCAGCTAATCGTCAGTCCATGCTGCATACACACTCGACAACTTGCTCTTCCAAGGTCACTGGCCGAATGAATCGAACTGAACAATGGGGGGGAAGATGAGGGGGGGAAGGGGGAGGGCAGAGGGCATGATCGGGGCGGCACAACAACTGCACAGCGACCATTCGTGTCCTCGGCCACTCTCAATATTTGGCCCGCAACAACGGGGAAACGGGAGGGGGGAGGGTTCAAGCAACTTGTGCGTACCATGGTTAACCTTGCGTCTCTTCTTGGGGTTCTTGCCAGCGCCACGGGCCTCATGGTCCTTGTCGCGCTCGGCCGCATCGCCTTTGGCCGCCATCTTGCTTCGCTCCACCACCTTGCTTCCCTTGGCATCCATCGCACCCGGCGCCGTGGTGGTGGTGGTGGTGGTGGTGGATGTGGTAGTGCTCGTAGCACCGGTAGCCTTCCGCTCGCTCATTGCTGTTGTGTACGCCCAATCTTCTCTTTCCCCCCGGTGCAGTGGTTCCTTCTTTTCCAGTCCCGTTGGGTTTTCTCCCGTCTCTCTCTCTCTCTCTCTCTCTCTCTCTCTCTCTCTCTCTCTCTCTCTCTTCTCTCTTCTTCTTCTTCTTCTCTTCTCTTCTTCTTCTCTCTCTATACTCTCATCTCCCGATTGCTCGGTCTCCCATTGGATCTGTCCGCCTCGGGAAGGGTTACGCAGACGTCCAGATTGCAGATCATCGAACGGGAAGAATCGTCCCAGCTTTTCCGGCTCGCCTTCAGACGCTTCCCGATGGCGCAACTAGCATTGCCCGAAGCTAAGCTGTGCAGCCCCCCGGAACGCAGCAGCAGAGCCGTCTCTCCCCCCCCCGGTTCTCTTTTCGCCGCGCAAAAAAAACGAGTTGAGACAAAGGTCGTGTGAGGGCCAGACAAAGCCGCCCGTCTCTGGCCGTGGCCGGATTATCGTCTCTCTTGTCGCTGGGAAAAGGCGGAATCAGAATCAGGGCCGGGCGCGGGCTCTGCCAGGCAGGAATGGGATGCAGAGGCAGAGTTTGGCCGGCAAAGCAAGAATCGAGTTGAGCACGAGAGCAGAAACGGGCAATCAGCAGGAAGCGCAAGCTGCTGCTTTGAGGCACCGGGCCAAGTTCAGCTCAAACTGGGGCCTCTCCCTTTTGGTGGGGACCTTTTCGACCACCAAGTGCCAGTGGACCGAAAGCCGCCTTTTTCGCCTTGGCGGCCAAGCGCTAGCCCGGCCGGTTGGGTACCTGCGCCAGAAGGATTTCCAACGGCATCAGTGGGCTGCTACAGCGGTCGGCAAGGCCTGTGCATTACATGACGGCGCCTGTAACCGGTCGCTGGCAGGGGGGCTTAATATCGCCCGGGTGCTCATTCGCTGCATTCACACACACACAAACCAAGTATTCGGAATGGCCTCGTTTCTGGCATGTTGGTTCCTGTCACGTCACCCTTTATTCTCCGCATCCTGATTGGGGCGTTTGGGATTAGACTTTTTTACCATGGCTACAAGTACACAGCCACCAGAAGAAAAGAACAATAACCACCTAGCAACAAGTGCAAAGGAAAAAAAGAAAAAAAGAAAACCAACAGCATTCGCCATCTCATCTCGTCTCATCTCAACTTCCATCTCATCACCCTCTCCCCAAATATGCACATCCCAAATTTACCCTATACTGTACACCTAAAAAAAGATCGCCGTATTCCGCTGCCAGCTCTTCAGCCACCGGCGCCCGAAAACGGATGCCCATTCGCTCATCCCGAAGCCACATCCCACACATTTCGCACATTGCACATGCAGGACCTCGGGAACTACAGGCTTGAAAAACCGGGAAACGCAATTTACATTACAAAACAGTGCAAGGCCAAGACGAATCAAACAGTGAAGAATGAAACAAGACAACCAGTGAAGAGACAAGAGAGAAGAAGCGGGGGGGGGGGGGGCGGGGGGGGGGGGGGGGGGGGGGGGGGGGGGGGGGGGGGGGGGGGGG